TTAGGGTGAAACACCAATAAATTCCAAAATGTGATATTGTGAACTATTTAATCCTTTTCTTTTTTCTGATGAACCCAAAAGTCCATTTAAAGTGAAAATTAAGCAAAATGGTAGTCATTTACATGCTTGGGTTTAATTTTTCAAGGATAAAAGTGGGTTTCTCCAAATATAAAATTACACATGTAGGAAAAAAAGTTTTGGATTTTCCTTCATTCTGAAACAAATCTCACATTACAAACAAAAGCGTAACACTCTAACGTAATACTTCAATATAACACACTAAAAACTTCTTGGTATATTTTTTCCAAACAAAACGACGTAACATTAAAAAAAAAACTCCTTAGTATACTTTTCCCAAACGTAACACTCCAATCAATATAATCTCAAGTGTAACATTCCAATGTAATACACACAAAAATACTAAAAAACTCCTTAGTGTATTTTTTCTAAACGTAACCCTCACAGTTTGAAAATTATACATTTATCCAAAACTTAGGCCTCGTTTGGCATAACCTATATAATCCATCTTTTTATCTTTTTATCTTTTTTCCATCACATCACCTCTCTACTTTTCTGCACATCTTTTTGTAAAAAGACAAAAAGTGCACTTTTTTAGGACACCCCAAACCAACCCTTACTAAGGAATTTTTGTATTCCTTTTGAAATGGTTTGAAGAATCCCGAATCATTTTGGAATAATTTGAAGAATCTCACATACTTTTTTTGGAGTGTTACATTAAAGTGTTATGTTTGATAAAAGTATGCTACAGAGTTTTTTTAGAGTATTACATTAGAGTGTTACGTTTAGAAAAAGTACACTAAGAAATTTTTTTGTGTGTTACATTAGAGTGTTACACTAAGAAGTTTTTTTGGAGTGTTATATTGGAGTGTTACATATGGAAAAAGTATACTAAAGAGTTTTTTTATGTGTTACATTAAAGTGTTACATTAAGAAATTTTTTTGGAATGTTATATTGGAGTGTTACATTTGGAAAAAAAAAAGTATACTGTTATATTAGAGTGTTACACTAAGGAGTTTTTTTTTTTTTTTGTGTTATATTAGACTGTTATGTTTGGAGAAAATACACTAAGTGTATTTTTTTTGGAGTGTTACTTTTGAATGTTACATTGGAGTGTTACAATTTGAAATTATGCGTTTGTCCAAAACTTAATAAGGAGTTTTTGTACTCCTTTAAAAATATTTGAAAAATCTCACATCTTTTGAAATGTTTGAAAAATCTCATATTTCAAGTCGTTTTTGTACTCATTTTTAAATGTTTTCTAAATAAAAAAGATTCTCATACAAAAATTTATCCCAAATTTAATTCTCATAGATTATGTATCTTACCTTTCTAGTACAAAAGAAGAAAAAAAAGAAGGAAGCATAATACAAATAATGGTATAATCGTAAATCTAATTTTTAAATAATATATTAAATATATCTTTTCAAAATTAATGGGACTAATTGGTTTATAAGAAAATTCTTGGGATTAAATAGATCACCATTCCTCAAAATGGGATTTATAAAGTAAATTTTCTTATTTATTAATGTTTAAAAATATTTTTCACAGATATTTTACTATTTAAATACATCTAAGTAAGGTATATCTAAAAAAGTAAAAAATTATTTAAAATTTTAAAGATATTCGCTAAAAATAAGAAGGCACGAAAAAAAAAAACCTCAATTTCTAAAAAATTAAAATTAAATATACTGAATTATTTTTTACTTTTATTTATTTTTATTATCAATTTTTACTTTATAACAAATTATACCTAACAAACATTTAGTCAGGGGAAATGATGGCAAGAATGCGGGCACTTGTCCTCTGTATTTGGTTTGTTCTTTCTAGTTCAACCATGGTATATATATGTACCAAACTGTCCACACACTAATCTCCCAACTCTGTCACATTAATATTATTTTCACCTAAATTTTAGGTTTCCAAATGGAAATCTCAGGAGGATCATTTATTTCGTCTCATACAATATGGTTCAACTTATGTAGTTATTTGGTGTAACTTATAATTTATTAGGTAGAAATAACTTAAATAAATTAAAAAAAAATTGATTATCTAAAAATTAGAAGTAAGTACTTTTAACTTCTATTTTATTACCCACTCAAAGAAAACTTCTATTTTATGATTATCAAATTTTAATTTATAATAAATTGTATTAAACAAGTCCATGACGACTTTATTCACCTATCAATATAACTCATAAGTAATTCCCTCTAGGTTTTGAACTTGTACTGTTGTTCTAATTTTGATACCAAATATTTTTATTTAAGGGAATGACTTGTCGGTGACCGGTAAGAGTTATTAAACAAAAAACTCTTATCGGTAAGAGTTTTTAAAAAAATTCAACTTGACCATGTTTTCTTTAACTCTTACCGGTAAAAGTCTTCATTTTAATGATTCTTATCAATCAGAGACCTCAACTGTCTGATTCAGTTCAACTTTCAGTTGGAGACAAACTAAATCCTTCATTTAACTAATATGTCAAAAGACGCTAGTTTAATAATAAAACATGTGAGATCGAGTCTTATACATTTTCTACTATACCAAAAAGGAAAATGATCCATTACCAAAAAAAATTTCTACAAAAACATCCCTTCATAGACTCTGACTGGTAAGAGTTTAGCACTACAGAATAAGTAAATAGACTCTTACCGGTCAGAATGTGTGAATAGATACTTTTGTGAGAGATTTTTGTGAGAATGTAACACAACTGATACCAAAACAGTGGTCTAACCCATATCCAATACCTATACCTATGGTTTTTTTTAACCCAAAAAATGATGTTCTAAGATGTCATATTGGTATTCGTAGACCTAGGCCCCGGGATAGGCGGTTGCCAGCTTAATTTAATCCAATTCATAAGAAGTGACCTACCACCGAAACACCAGTGGAGCCCATCGACCACCCTCAACGTGGCCAATTTTCAATCGAAATACAGTGCGAAATCTCTGCAGAGAACTACTGAAAATTATCCACCATTTCTTGCCCCCAAGAGTTGAACTTGACTCTCTGCTGGGGAAGGACAATGCTTTTACCACTGAGCCACCACCCCGGGTGGTTACCTATACCTACGGTTGATCCCACAATTATTATGACAACTTGACAACAATGGTTTAAAAAAAAAAACAAAAAAATTGACAACAATGGAATCCATGGACAATTATTTGGTATTGGTAAAGTTCAGATTTATCATTTTGTGGTAAAATTTTAGGAGATAGTACCTAACGTATCAATCAATAAATGAAATGGAGCAACATTCTAAAAATACTCAATAATTTTTTGATTGCTCGACAAAGGGTATATTCTTGAACAAATTTGTGATAATAATATTCTGGAGAAATTTCAATGCACGGTAGGTTTATAAAAAAAATTATAAATAAATGATAAGTTTTATAAGCATTAGTAATTAAAGATATAAACTTTTTTACCAATCTGTAATAACTTTTTGACAAATGCAATAATTAGTAACTTTCCCTAAGATTTTTCCTATCACAGACCTATATTATGACTCTGTATTTTTTGAACTCATATAATGACTCTGTTTGGCAATTGGTAAAACAGCAACATGTTTTTTTTTCAAATTTTTAAAATTTTTTTTTTTAAAGATTTATGTTAAAATTTTTTAGGTCATTTATAAGTCTAAAATGATCTAAAATCTAAATAAGTGTGAGAAAAATCCAAAAAAGTTGATTGAAGACCCCAAAAAATGCCTACTATTATGCCTTTTTCTCTTTAGTTGACTTTGTCAAATTTGGTATATATATATTATTTTAAAAAAATTTAAGGTCTTATAGTCTAGTAGGGACCTTAAAAGTTTTTTAAAAAATGAAATTTTTTTTTACTAAGGACCAAAAATACCCACAAACAAAATTTTGCTAAAAAAACATTTGCTGTGCAATTGCAAAGTTGCTCATTTGTGACTAGAAACAATTTTCGCACGGCAAGTTAAGGTTACTTATGTATGACTCTCTCTCAATTTTGCAGTGACGATGAACCAAATTTTTTAGAACTACCATTTTTATATTATGATTGTCCCTATTGTTCCCTCTCGTCCGATCCCATTCTAGTGAGAGCCTTGTGTGATAAGTCATCATTTTTTTATAAGTAATTTAATGTCCGATCCCATTCTAGTGAGAGCCTTGTGTGATAAGTCATCATTTTTTTATAAGTAATTTAATGTTGGGAGGTCCCAAATGGCTTCTAATGGATTCTCATTAGCCATTGGCAATTATTTAATTCCATGCCGTTTCCCAATATCCTTTTGTGTTTGTTTCTCTCGTTCTTTATCTTGTTTGGATACCATGATTCATTTTTCCTCTGTTTTCCTTCGCAAGAAACTATAACAAAGGAATCAAAATTCCACTACTCACCTTAAAATTGTTTCCAAACATTCTTTTAACCACACATCATGCCAAAATGGTGGGAGCAAACAAGCAAGCTCAAATGTGCTTTTCCAAATTGCTTCTTTGATTAGTTGAATCTTTATATAATAGTCACTCTCGTCAAACTTGTGATCAATGGAAAATCAAAAACAAAGCAAGTCCCTTTCACACTAATGAAACATTTAATCCAAACAATAAATAATTTAAGCTAATTTATTTAGTTTAGATCTAAGTTTAACCAAATAATTCACCCAATTTGAACCTGACTCAAATGTTCTTGGAGCCAGGCATTTGATATGAGTTATGGATGGGTTAGAGAGGTAATAATAAATTTTTTAATTTTTTTTGGATTTCATCTCAAGCCGTTAAATCGAAGATGCCATTCATCATGCAAATATAGTTAAATGGGAGTGAAGCCCATGCTTTTCTTGCCTCCACACTAGTTATACCTCTAAGCTCGCAACCTCTCTCCATTCGCTCCTTGGGCCATCTGCAGAGAGGTTCAATGTTTGAATTTGCATCGCTTATTCACTCTAATTATCATTTTCCTTCTTCTTCTTCTTTTTTGTGAATGTTGACATAGTTTTGGATCAATAGGTACAATGGTGAGGCCTCCGTGTTGCGATAAATTGGATGTGAGAAGGGGGCATTGGACCGAGGAGGAGGATGCGAAGATACTTGCATATGTATCGAAGCATGGAACGGGGAATTGGACAGATGTGCCAAAGAAAGCAGGTTCGAAGGTTCTTTTCATTTGGCTAAAACTAAAAGAAAAATGCTTGGGAGTACTAATTAGTGCTCCCACTAATTACGTGGCAGTGAGTCCCGCCTTTAATGATGTGATGTTTTGGTCTTAGAGTTGTATTTTTTTTTTTTCACTTTTTTAATGCATTAGTGCTATTAGTGGTGATATTTTTAGTGGGATGAATCATTGTTGAAACTAAAATGTCAACTTTTTCTCGACTTATTTTTATCTTTTCTAAACAATTTTCAATTTCGAATTAAATTTTATTACTTTATACGTCTGTCTCAAGAGGACTCTAAAAATAAAATAAAAAATAAGTCATTTTTTAGAAAAGATTACTAAAGACATGTTGGCTATTTTTTTTCATTTTTGAACTTTTTTAAGGAAAAATTCAATTTTTATTTTTAAGACCGCCTAATTAAGACCGGATTTAAAAAGATTTTTTAAAAAAAATACAGAGGAAATAAGCCTAACTGAAAAAAAAAAAGAAAAAAAAAGAAGATCTTGAAAATGACTCATTTTAAGATTCATTGATGGTGAATCCGAAGAGTTTAAGACTAATTAATTTCGATTTCATGTGGATTAACAATGGCATGAGTGTGGTTTTGTAGGGCTTAGGAGGTGCGGAAAGAGTTGCAGATTAAGGTGGACTAACTACCTAAGGCCTGATCTCAGGCAGGAGACCTTCACACCCCAAGAAGAGGAATTGATTATCAGGCTTCATGCTGCCATTGGCAGCAGGTTAGTCGGTTACCGATTCGTTTAAACTTTCTTCCAAGTAACCAGCAGCAGGGATGTTTTCCCAGACTTTCCGTCACTTTCTCTAGAAATTTTTAGTTATTTTCTTTCTCACTCGGATTGAATTATGAAACTACTAATTTTACTTCTTTCACTCACATTGGAAGCATGATTTCAGATTTCAGATTGATTTTTTTTCCTCCTTCATAACCCCGTATACAAAATCAGTCGCAGAACCAGCCATGAAAGCTTTTACAATAATTCAGGGTTGTTTGGAATGACCTAAATAAGTGCATTTTTTATCTTTTTACGAAAAGATGTGTAAAAAAGTAGAGAGGTGATGTGATGAAAAAAAGATAAAAAGATGAATTATTTTAGAGTTGCCAAACTTGACCTGAATTTCTTACTTAAAAATCTATTCATGTGCTTTTCTATCAATTTTTTCTTTATTATTTATTTCTTATATGAATGGATTATGTATATATATGTATCAAATTTTTTACTAGAATGACTATTGGTCAAATAAATATTAGATATAACGGTAATATTACGTGACAGTATCACCAACCAATGAAATTTCTCCTATTGTAACCATTAGAGTTAGAATTACATGATTGAGTTAGTGGGGCACAAGCTTGTCCACCTAGTCCTATTTGTGATTTTTTATTGATCAATGATACTATGTAAGATAGTGTCACCGTTGCACTCAACATTTATTTCAGGACAAATTACAACAATAATCCCTACATTTTGCCCCTTTTATCATTTTGGTCTTTACATTTTTAATTGGCTCAATTTTGACTATTAATTTTAGATTTTGTATCAATTTGGTCCAATTGATGACATTATTTGTATTTTTGATAGAAAATAATCACTAAATTAGTTGAAATTAACTTACTAAGTAGACCAAGTTTGTAATTTTACTTCTAAAAGCATGATACATACCAATTATATACGCGTTTTCTATAAAAATATATATATATATATATATATTAATATTTGTAATCAATTAGACTAAATTGAGATAATATTATAAAGTCATAATTTTATAGTCAAAATTAAATCAATTAAAATTATAAGAATTAAAATGACACAAAAATCAAAATAGAATTATGGACGTAATTTGCCCTTTATTTCACGAGAAGTTGTTTGTTTCCCACCAAACAATAGGGTGATACATAATTATTTTGTTTAAAATGTAATAGAAAAAATAAAAATAAAAACAAAAACAAAGATAGAGTTACACGTCTTTCTGTCATAGACACACCACATATGATAACCGGATTTTTTGGAAAATTTAAAATTGATATCCAGACCAACTTTCAATAGTCGTTGAAATGACTCAAACACAATACCTTAAATCTTATTCTCAGATGATAACAAACTTAACTATCATATGCATATCTGTAAATCAAAACACAAAACATGCAGCGGAATAAAATGTTTAGATCATACCTCATTTGATCTAAAACTTCGTGGATAAATCACGTGCTTCCAGAATCTAATCAATCAATCCCAGCAGTGGGGTGATATTACAATGGTGAATATCACCCACACAAACCACAGTGCAACTGACTTGATCGTTGTTTTTTTTTTCTTGGGAGAGAGTCAGTATATGGGTAGAAAACAGACTCAACGTTAGTTCTCTTGGATTACCCATAACCATATAACAAATATTTAATATATTATAATATCTATCCATATCAGTTAAGATACAGATAATATCTAATATATATTATATCTATCTATATCAGTTCAAACTGATAACGTCTGTTTCAAGAGTGGTTATCCTAAATAGGTTTGATTTCAAAATCAAAACCTATTTGGATAAGGATCAAATGTTAAATTTAAATGGTCATGCCACATGGGCGCCCATTACTAACATCTCCCACTCGCACATGAGTTGGCATGACACTGCCACATCTCTATCTCAATCTCCCCAAAAACGAACAATCTCATACTAGCCAATGCACCGTGCGACCGCTGAGAACACCTGCAAGTGGGAGCTCTATACTTTGATCGTTGTTTCTTGGGAGAGAGTCAGTATATGGGTAGAAAACAGACTCAACGTTGTTTTTCTCTCTTGGTTACCCATAACCATATATCAGATATATATTATATTTATCTCATTTATCCATTGGTTAAATGAGATAATATCTGATATCTATATCATCTATCCATATCATGATATGATAGATATATATCCTGAGTGGCTATCCAAATAGGTTTGAATTCAAATTCAAAACCCATTTGGATGAGGTTCAAAAGGTTCTAAGGGTCATGCCACATGGGCGCCCAATTTCTAACATATCTTATTACAAATTGATATAATTTTATCATAAAATTTTGTAACATTAATAACAAAATGCGTAATTTTATTACAAATTAACATAATAAAAAATATCATAATCAAGTCACAAATTTTTAAATTTTTTATTACGTTAATTTATAACGAATTTAAGTATTTTATAATTAATATTATAAAGTGTAATAATAAAATTATATCAATTTGTGATAGGTTACATATAAGCTCCACAACATTGGCTTTCCCGCGACGTTTAACTACCTCTACAAATAGAAAAATGTTTTGGAATTCTAATTTCCGAGCTCTAATAACTTTAATGTGTATGTGGAACTCATCTAATATGATGTTTTAGCCTTTTTTTTTTTTTTTTTATAAATTAAAAAAAAAAAAAAAATTCACTTCACTAGAGTTCAATTAGAGCCGTAATTTTAGAAGATGTATCATTGTTGCTACAAATATTTTCTTAATTATTCTGTGTGTCATTGTTTTATGTGGTTCAGGTGGTCTATAATAGCCCAACAACTTGCAGGAAGAACAGACAATGATGTGAAGAACTACTGGAACACAAAACTAAGAAAAAAGCTATCTGAAATGGGAATTGATCCAGTGACTCACAAACCCTTCTCCCAAATCCTTGCTGACTATGGAAACATTGATGGCCTCCCAAAATTCGGAAACCGAATCGGATCCCTCAACCGGGACATAAAAAACGCATTCATCTCCAAATCGGTCCAGTCTCCGATCCCACAACACGTATTCTCAAATTTCAACATGCATTTCACAACACTCGATCATCCAATCCAAAACACCGCTGGCAATTACGCAAATAACAGTTCGCTAGACCTTCTGGCTCAGCTCCAATCCATTACGCTCGTTACTGAAGCCTCATCAAACTATACCAACAGCCAAACAACCAACACGCCACATGTTGATTGCTCCTCTTCATCAGCAGTAAGTCAGTTTAACGCGTCTTTGAGTTTCAGCTGGCGCGATTTTCTTATTGAAGATCCATTTATACCGGGTGATGTACAACAAGAAGAAGAGATTAAGCAAGAAGAAAAACAAGATTTTAGTGCGGTTGAAGAAATGGGTCATGAATTTGAGGTGATGAATAGCTTTGAGAGTTCATCGTGTTCTGACAGATCGTTTGTTGAAGCCATGATGGATCAACAAAGCGATATGCTATTGGAGTTTCCTGGACTTATGGAAGAATAATTGTTCTATTGAGTTGTCAAGAATCATTGGGGTTCAAGAACTTGTCAAGAATCATTGTTCTACTGAATTTGGCAAAGATTTAACTAGCAATTTTTGTCAGTTTGTTATTGCTTTGTTCCTTAATTAACAGTATATAAGATGTAACTGAATGATTTCTAGTTACCTAATAAAGGAGGTGGTTGTTTCAATTAATCGAAGTACTACGTTTTATTTATAATTGATGTGTTATGGCTCTATTTCGGTCATGGATTTACACAATAATTGTGAAGGAATAAAGGAAAGAAAAAAATGAAGTGAAAAAACAGAATTTATTTATTTCATTTTAATTTGTTTTTATTTTTATTTTTTTCATAAATTCAATAACACCCATTTTTCTTTCCTTTACAGTAGAAAATAGTTAATGCTATACATAAATAAATAAATAAATAAATAAAATTATATACAAAAAAATTATATTAAATGATGTAACTCGTTTATAGTCATTTAATAAAAATGAAAAAAAGTCACCACCATAAATTGTAATGCTAAAATTCCGTTTTCAATCATACTGCCAAAGTTCTATATATTTGTTATTTTCATTAAGAAATACATTATATTTTTATTATAAACTAAATTAAATTAAATTTGGTGTTCATCAACTAGGATTACCGAGATCTCTTAAACCATTAAAAAATATTATTTTGATCCCCTAAACTATAAAAACATAAAAATAAACTCTCTAAACTAATGACGTGTTTCACTTTGACCCTTTTTTGTTAAAAATTTGTACGTTTTTATAAGTTAAGAAGTTCATTTGTACGCTTTTTATAATTTCAGACAAATTAATAAAATTCCTTTGTTTAGAGGGTTTATTTGTAAATTTTTATAATTTAAAGAGTCAAAATAATATTTTTCAATAATTTAAAGGATCTTTGTGTAAATAACTCATATTTTTATTCTTTTGCTATTATACTCTATAAAAGATGGTTTAAATTAAATAAATTTATAAATTTCTACTTTGAACCCCTCTTCCTTCTACCCCTCTTTTGCTCCCTTCAAATGCCACAACAATAATTGCCCCTCCCCCTACCTCTCTTTATGTTCTCCATCTTCCCCTTACTCTTCCGAGTCTAGATTTCCTCCTTGATGCCCCTTCTTCATTTCTTAAATAAATAAACAAATAAATTTCATTTCATTTCCCACCCAAACCTATATACAACATATAGCTTTTGTACACTCACTCCCACTCTTACTTAGCCCCTTCTCCTCCACCAAACCCATCATTACCAACGACCCATCCTCACCGGCGACCCACTCCTGACGACGACGAGAAGCTCTTGAAACGGAACCGGCTGACTCCTTTCATTTTCCTTCTTTCTCCTTACACAGGCAAACTGTCTCTCTCTCTCTATTTCTTGATTGTGTTTTTAATTATGCAATGCTTCATGATCTGATCATTGGATAATTTGACAGTTTTGTATTTGAAGTATGCAACTAAGGAGAAATTAAACATGAATATTCACTGCATTATTGGTTTTGAAAAAGAGAAGGCTAGTTGCTTAAGTGTCACGACCCAAACCCGCCCCTATGGGTTTAGTACCGTAACCGGCCAGTAATCCGTGATTATCGAAGGCCTGCTTAGCAGTAATAACAGTAATACAGAGTACAGGGGCTAGCGGAAGCCAAAACAGTAATAAAAGATGTCCAATGAGCTGTGACAGTCTGTATGCAAAAAGACTTTTCATGACATAATCACATTCAGAACAAAAGCAGTATGCACATACATCATATACAGGCATTCAGGTTAGGGACCACATCCCTACCATAACAGTACAGTACTAGTCTATACAGTCTATATGAAACAGAGATAGAAAGGGAGAATGTAAAACACCCCAAAGCAGCCTTGGCTTGGACACACTTGGAACCTCGCAGTGAGGCACGTTGGTTGACTTGATAAAAAGGGAGTTTAACCCAACGCTCCTAACTCCAATCCGGTGCCTAGACACCTACATATATATATATATATATATATAAACAGTAAGCTAAAGCCCAGTGAATAACATATGCGTAAAGAGGTTAAGAATGAATATCCTTTCAATATTTAAAACAGTCATTTAAACAGTATATCGATTATTCGATCATAGCAGTCATAAGTGGTACATCCAATAGAAAACAGTACAGTAGGTCTTAACAGACCGAACAGTCAATTGATGGCCATCATATTAGTAAACAGTAGTGGTTCCAAACATAGGAACCGACAGAGATCTCTGTGACAGTAGCAGTACAGTACAGTAACAATGAATTGCTATGGACGCCACGAATACAGTTCGCAATCAGGACAAGCATTCATTCAGTAAGAAATATCATTTCAGAAAGCAATACAATAGATCATTCAGAAAATATTTGTGATTGAATATATCTTTACAATATTGTTACTCACAGAGTTCTGGGCTACAGATAGGCTAGTGAGCGTCCTCGGATGCCAACCCTACACAGTTACAAGATGAACACACACTAAGTTGCACGTTTGGGAAACAATAACTTAGTCCCTATCTTGACTCGGTGTGCTTCTATAGCATTATCTTCATTAAGATGCCTTAAACATGGCCTAGGAATGCCTAGGATGAAATGAGGATGCAAAGATGCACTTTAAAACACTTTTCAGAATTTTCAGAAAACAGGGGTCTTGCTCGAGCGTGGCTTTCCACGCTCGAGCGGACATGCAGACAAAGGAGCTTCGCTCGAGCATGACTTTCCTCGCTTGAGCGGACTGCAAAAGTACTGAATGCATGAAATTTACGCTCAACGGGCGCTCGACCTCCGCTCGAGCGTGAGACACAAGTCCTCGCTCGAACGTGCATTTCCGTCGCTCGAGTGGACTATAAACACATGCAAAGTACTGGATACACACATTTCATGCTCGAGCGCTACTTTTCTTGCTCAAGCGGACTGCATGATCTCAAAGTCTACGCTCGAGTGTGGAGTTCCTTGCTCGAGCATGGATCCAAAATCTGAAATTTTCAAATTTGTCTCCAAGCATGAAACTTAACATTTAAAGCATCAAATTCGATCCTTTTGGGCTAATTTTCTGGAAAACACTTTAAAACTCATAATATGATATGTTTCAAAGATCAATTTGCAAAATCAAAGCCCAAAGGTAAGTCAATTGAACACCATTTCAACAATAACTTCAAGAACATAAAGTGAATGAACATGCAACATGCATGAATTTAATTGAAACCAAAGTTTCCAATACATGATCAAATAACTCAATCCTTCCAAAAACATGATGAATTCTTGAACTATAAACAAAATATGAACATGCATGTGGTAAATTTCATGGAAAGACCTCAAAACTCAAGAATGTGCACATGCATGCAAGATTTAAGCCTTAATTCAACATTTTAAACCAAAACTTGACTCTAAACTTTAATCCACCAAGAACCATGCAAGAAGTAACTCAAATTCATAATGGAAAAGATGAATTCTCTACCTTAGGTCCTCAATTCAAAGGTAGAAGCTCAAATATGCAATGAATTATTCAAATCCTCTAAGTCTCCAAGCAAAACTTGTTGAAAACAATTCTCTCCTAAGTCTCTCTCTCTCTAGTCGGTTTTGGACTCGAGAAAAGGTTGAAGAAATGTGATGCCAAGCCTAGGTGAATCAAGACTAATAGATGGCCTAGCATTAACCACTAATGGCAATTTGGTAACTAACATAATCAAGAAACAAAGAGAGAAAGAGAGAGTCTGTTGCCTGTGTAAGAAGAAAGAAGGAAAATGAAAGGCGTTGGCCAGTTCCGTTTCAAGAGCTTCTTGCCGTCGTTGGGAGTGGATCGCCGATGAGGGTGAGTTCAGTGGAGGAAAAGGGGGCTGAGTGAGAGTGAGAGTGAGTGTACAAAAGCTGTATAAGCTGTATAAGCTGTATATAGGTTTGGGCAGGAAACAAAATTCAATTTGTTTTATTTTATTTTATTTCTTATAGCCGTTGGATTTGCAACTGCTGATCTCAGCCGTTGCTAGTGGGAAATGAAGAAGAGGCATCAAGAAGGAGATCTGGACTCTACTCTTCCACCTTCTCTTTTCTCTCATATGTTAGGTTTTGAAAAGATGGAGACAACAAGGTGAGGATTTATAAATTTTTTTATTTTTTAAATAATATCAAAAACATTTAGGGATATTTTGGAAAGATAGTTAAAAGTTGACTTTTAAATTTTTTTTTTTTTGAAAAAACATGTAAAAATGTGAGAAATGAGTTAAAAGCTAGAATGTAACTTTTAACACACTTCTCAAAAAAAGGCCTTAATTGTGAATTGTTAGGCTTTATTTGAGAAGTGTGTTGGTTTTTTAACTTTTTAATTATTTTAGCCTAAGTTAAAAAGTTCATTTGAATTAATTTTTTTTTATTTTTGTAAGAAAAAAATGAAATAATTATAATTTAGATATAATATTTTATTTTATTAATTTTTAATTAATTTATTTTTATAATTAATTTAGCCCAAAAATTTAAATAAAAAAAATTCAGTTATCAAACGAAGGTTTAATAAACTCTTTAGATTTTAAACATCCACTTAGGAGTGTAAATCTAACCCTGCCCGACCCATGTCAGGTCTCGCGAGCTCCCGTCACGAGTCAAAAAATTAGGCCCAGGCCTAAGCCCAAGGATATTTAGGCCTTGGGCAAGGCGAGCCTCGGGCCGACCTGATGGGCCTGGCCTCAGGCTTGGGCTTGGGCTGGCCTGATCATTTTTTTGTTTTTTTAATTTTTTCTACTAAAATTTTATTATTTTCCACTAAAAAATATATCGGGCCTTGACTCAGGCTTTGAGTGGGCCTTAAGCGAGCCAATGAGCCAAGTCAGGCTTCAAAACAAATGGCTTAGGCCCTAGCCCAGAGGCTCGGGCTGGGTTCAGGCCTGAGCCCAAACGAGCCTAAGGCACCGTTTGGGAAGAAGGCTTTCAGGCTTTTTCAGTTATTTTAGTCACAAAAAATAAAATAGACTATTTTAGCCACAACAAACAAAACATCACATCAAATCCATAATCATTACACTTTTCTCTCACAAAAAAAATCAAAAAAATTAAAAAATCAAAAAACCCTTTCTAAATTAAATTTTTTAACCCAAATTAAAATAATTAAAAAAAATTTAAAAATTAAAAAACCAACTCACTTTTATACTAAGGCTAAATTGGCTAGCCCACCCCAAGTCACAAATAAGATTTGAACCGACTACAGACCACGAGCCATTTGTACGCTCCTACATCCACCACAGAACCTATTTTGGTGTTAAAACATAAAATTTATTTTAAAGAAACAAAAATTTAAAGACGAATAAAATTATAGAATTTTTTTTTGGTTCCCAACTAGAGAGAGAGAGAGAGAGAGAGAGAGAGAGAGAGAGAGTTTGAAGAAAAGAAAATGGTGGCGATATCGCTGTACAGAGGGAACCTCCACAGAGTCCCAGACGTTCCACGGCGATGGCTAATGCCAACCCCCAAAATTTCCCTCAAAGACTTCCGAATCCTCCTCAACCGCCGCTCCAGAGCCCTCTCTCGCCTCCATTCCTCCTCCACCACCTCCTCTATCCCTAACCCTAACCCTAATGTCAAACAAGAAGAAGACGTGAAAGAGAATGATTCTCTTCCTCCTCAGCTCGATCCACCGAACATTACTATTACTCGTCATCCTAAAGAAGAAGAGACTTTGAAGGAAGAAGAGGTCCAAGAGACTTTGAAGGAAGGAGAGGTCAACGATCGGAAGGAATCGGAGGGTGGTGATGGATCTGATGCATCACCGGATGAGAAATCGCCGCCTGAAGTTCCTCAAACCGCCACCAATCCGGTGGATGCGATTGCTAATTCACAAGGCGAAAAGTCGCCGGAGAGGTTGGAAAAGCCGAACCTTGAGGTACTGGCTATTGTTATGGTTCTTGGGGTTTGATGCTTTTGTTTGAATTGGATGTTTTGTAGTTGAATGTGCTGTGAATATGTGAAATTTGACCTAATCAATACTAGTATAATTTAAGAGAAAAAAAATTTGAAAATTTGTGATATCCACTTTGCAAATTTGAGAAGTTGTAGATTAAATTTAAATTACAAGGAATCAAGGATTGAGGTAATTGATATGGAAATTTGTAATAAGCAAAAAATTTGTGGGTTAATATGATTTTTCGAAAGAAGCAAGTTTACATTTATTTACATCCAAATATGTCACTTCTTAAAAAAAAAGAAAATTTAGAAACTGAAACACTACACTACACACACCCGAATAAGGAACTAGAAGTGCATAAATAAATAAAGGTTGACATATCACTATAATTGCTTTTGGGATTGATTCTTGTGAAATTACCACTGCCAAATCATTACAGCCTACATTCTGTTTGTAAAAGCATGACTCCAATAAAGCTTGCAAGTTGCAATGCTCTACTAGTACTAGTGGGTACAAAGGTGCGCTTTACTTAAAATAAATTTGAAGTTTGAGTGATGGAAACTTGACTTGTTACTATATTGTTAGTAAAAATCTTTTCATTTTTATTCTTAATGAACAAATCAATCTATCCTTAAGTTTATACTTTAAGAATTATGGTTGTTGGAACCTAAAATTTTCAGCACTATTTATTTAAGACTAAAATATTTCATAACTTGAATATTTATCATTTTTTTTTTCCATTACTTGATTTTCAATTTTATCTGACATGCTCTTAGTCAAGCTAAGCATTTCTACCCAGATGGCTGCACCAATGTCTTTAATCTATCCTTTTTGTTGTGAAGGTTGGTAAGCTTCAACTCATTAGTCATGAGAATGTGTATCCATATATGTAAGTAATAGTACATAACCCTCCCCATTAATAATGCTTCTATTTTGTAGCATTGATGAAAACTTAGTGGAAGGGAAGGCCAGGGAAAACCTTTGAGAAAGGAAACAAAATTTCTCACCTACTATTTTGTTGAGTAGAAAGGGAAAGAGAAGGAAGGAAATAGGGTGCCATTGTTCGCTTACATGTTAATACAAGTTCTTAATTGAAGAGCGGAAACTTAACAACAAAGTTTCTCTCTTTCTCTCCTTTCTACATGCTTTTGGGAAGAAAGAAAATGTTGGGCCTAGAAGTGAACTTACTCCCTTTTTCTTACCTATCTTTTTCTTTCCTAACAAATGATGAAAAATCGCTCCATTTCATTCCTTTCCTTCTTCCCTCGTCTATCTCAATCTTCCCTCCTACCAAGTACCAAGTGGAGGTTTAGGCAAAGAATAAACAGAACCACTCTTGAATAACTTAAGACTTTCTTAGGAAGCTCAATGTGAGGTGTATTGTTGACAGCATGAATACCTGGAGTGTTGGCTAATATCAGTATAGGTATTTAGAATGAGTATGAGCACTATGAAAAGAGGAAATGTAAACACAGTTTATATCTCCATGTAGGAACCACTGAATGTGTTTGAAATTTGATAAGATTTGGAGATTTACATGGGTGTGCATTTGTGTCTATGAACCCAAAAAATAAGATATGAGTGGAAAACTTGTTGGGCTAGTACTGATAATAAGTTTTATGATTAGAATCAGGGATATGCATTTGAGATGGATGCATCTATTGATACATGCCAGGGGATATATATATATATATATATATGAATAACAAGTGGTACTCCAATTTCTTTCTTTATTTTGTTTTATTTTTTGTAAATATGGTAAGGATAATAAAAACAAGTGGGAAGGATAATTTCAAATTCTAAAACTACATTCTGCTTTGAGAATGTTTCCTTTTTTTTCCACTTGCTCTTTAACTTGGTTTTCCATGGTTGGAGTTCAACATATGTGACTTGTAAGACCATGTAGCTGAGGACTGATATTTTGCCATATCATGAACAAGAAGTGCTATTTGAGTTTATCTCTGCAATGGCATAAGAGAGAACTTGAGATACAAGATGGTGTAACGTTTCCCAGAGCTGTTATGTTAAATACTTGACAATGACACCCTTCAAAATAAAATAAAATAATTAACTTCGCAATGACAGCAGTAAAGGCATATTCACAGTCAAAAAGATTGAAAGGCAAAGGAATGAAGCTTATTCCCTGTCTCTTCCTTTCACTCTTTCCATTTTTAAGTAAATAAAATTTATGTTTTAAAAACTAATATTTGATCTTGAATTTGTATTGCAGATTTTGATTGCAGCTCATAATTGTAAATGTCAAAACAAACAATGTTGGTCATCATCTCCGTGGCCTTTAATTTAGTTGATACGAGAATCGTCAATTTGAATATCGAAAGAGTTCTAAGGTCTAGGAAACTTACCTACAAAGTTTTAGTTTGAATTCAAAATGAAATAATTAAGTAAAAGAAGACAGAGGAGGATGGAAATTAACATAACTAACTACTTATTCTGTTATGTATTATCTGTATCCATCGGATGTACTTAATAAATAAATAAGGTGCACCCATTATATGTGAGGGGAGCTTCTTCAGTACTCAGGCTTGTGCCTTTTCTTTCTTTCTTTCTTTTTATTTATTTATTATTATTTTTTTGACGTCTATGCAAGGACAATCATTAGTGCACCATGTTTTGAGCTATGAGTCTCAATGATGTTGAACCTTTCAGACTGATTTTTAAATAGTTTACCTTGAGACTTGCCTTGAGGGTAGCTCATGCCCGTCATGAGCCCCTTTCATAACCAGCAGTGACAGTTCTTGTATTGTATTAAGTAACTACTGTTATTTCCTCTTACTTCTCTTATTGGTTCTTATTTTTTTAAGTGCCAGACAAACAACAAAGTGGATGCCTTGAGTGATAAAGAGAGAAGAAAAAAGGAAGTCGAGGACAAGTTGCAAATTTTGAATGCAAAAAAACATAGTTTAGTACAAGTGCTGAAACAGGTAATTTTATATTTCATTGCCATCTTTTATGGTTGAAGAGTTTCTTGGTATTTGCAAACATTGTAGATTATAAGACCTTTTGTTAACTACATCTTTTCTCTGCAATAATTAGTAACTAGGCTGTAATTGGTGATGTTTAACAGATATTGAATGCAGAAGAAGAATTAAAGAGGCGAAATAGCACACAAGGAATAGGAATTCGCCCATGTATTCCACTTCAAGTGGATGCTACAAATGATTCTGGGTCGATGACTAGGCTTGCTACTCCTAGGGCGGGCTCAGAGGGAAACCTTGGTGGTGATATGGAAGGAGGAGAAGCTGATGATGTTTCAAACCATAATATGCATTCCCGCCATTTGCTTCGAATGAGCAGTACATCACCATCTTCTGATTCTCCTCATAGAAGGCCGGCCTTTAGTGTGGTAAAGTATATGAAATACCCATTTTCTAAGAAGCAAGGACACTTCTAAAAAGGTGCCATGTCCGAAGTTTGAAGAAAATAACTTTGGTTTCAATGATAAACTAAAAACAATGAGAATTTATACTTATTAATTCTTCCTCTAGAGTTTTTAATTTGAAGGATTCTAGAGCCCAAAATATGAATAGAACTTTCTAAAATAGATATTAGACTTTTTGTTTGCACTTCTTTTCCAATATGTACAATGTGCAAAGTGATTTTTACTATTTTGATATAATTAAATATATATGTATATTTGTAACGTAAAAAATGAGGGAAAAAAAAAAGAAGAAAAAGATATTAGGCTCATGTATACATATAAATATATATATAATGTTGTGTTTTACCTTGCCCAGTCCTGATGTTTTCAAAAATTGTTGTGTCGGTGTACCCATACTGTGTGTTGTGTCGCATTGGTGCTTTTTAGCCCATCCCATCTTTGCTGAATGCTGCCTGTGATACCAAATTTGGTCGAACTCTTGGTGACAATTCGTCCATGATGAAATATTAGTGATAATCTGCTGCAAACTCAAGGCTTTGCCCTATTTTTAGGAAAGACTTGCTTTAAAATGTATTAATTTTTAGTTACGGCATTTATTGTAGGTTCCACATACTTCTCGAGTGAACTTGGCTGTTGTTGCTGGCAGTCCATCACGCTTTGCTCCCACGGGGCACCAAGGCCACCCTGCAAATCTGCCAACGGTCTCTGTGTCCGGAACAAGTTACATAGCCTCCTCTCCATCTCCTTCCCCCGCAGCATCAGGTAGCACTTCAGCGTTTCGAGACACCAGATTGCCTAGTCCATGGAATTAGAAGCTTTGCTGCCTACATTTCATATCTTGAGGTGATTCGACCTATTGAGCCGCTTCTAGATTGCCTGCTTTGAACTTGTTCAGTAGAACACACCCAGTTTCCAAGCTGTTTTTGCCAGAGCTTATAGGTCAGAAGCAAGTACAAATCTCTTTTTTCACTCTTTTGTTTGTTATCTATTAAAGATCCATGTCTTGTCAGCTACATTGTTGTTGTAAATTTAAGCATGTTGGCTAGTCTTACAGATACGATCTGTAAATGTGTTTAAAGAAATCAAATATGCAGACTGAGTCAGAGTTTCTCCTTTCATTATCTTTGTAGTTTTATGATCCACAGCTATTGTTCCCAATCCTGAATCAATTTTGTTGCTGAGGAATCTGTTTGGTAAACAATTCTTGAAAATAACCTAATGCAAGCCGTATGAAACAATAAGGCTTTGTTTGTTTATGTTTTCAAACTAATTTTCTACACCAGAGTTTGAATATGATGTTTGTTTAGTGTTTTAGAATCACGTTTCGAAAGCTTTGCGGAGAGTTCTGTCTCAGCCGCTTTTTCAACCGCGCTTTTCAGCATTTTTTTTTTGAAGATTTTGCCTGACGGGACGTCCGGCCGGTTGACCGGAATAGCGATATTTTTTTTTTTTTTTTTGCAATTGATATGTTAATTTTTATATAATCGAAAAAAATATTTTCTGAAATTTTTAAATTTTTTTATGTGTTTTAAAATAATTTTGAATTGTATGTTTAGTTATAAGTTGTAAATTTTTGTATCAAATATCAAATGTCACATCAACAATTCTCCACTCAAACCCAAACTCTTTTCAAAACTATTTTCAAAACTCTTTATCAAACGAATTTTCTACACTTAAACCATAATTCCAAATCCTACAAACTCAAAATATAACTCATATTCTCAAATCATAATTACAAAATACAACTAATTGCAGGCTAAGTGTTTTTAAAGGTTATGTTATTTTCATTTTTGAAAATATCAAAAACGAAAACACAACTAAAAGCTCCGTTTGACAAGGAGGTTTGGGGCTAATTTAGTCACAAAAGACAAAATAGGTTATTTTAGCCACAACAAACAAAACATCACATCCAATCCATAATCATTACACTCTCCTCTCACAAAAAAAGCTAAAAAGTTCTTCCCAAACTAAGCTTTTTAAACCAGACTAAAATAGTTAAAAAAATCAAAAAGTCAAAAAAGTCAATTCACTTCCCAGACGGAGGCTGAATTCAAACCTCCTAATGCCACTGTCCGTACACAATCTATTGCCTTAGTGGATTCTGATAAAATTCATATTGGGAGTAGGAGTGTAAAAATGACTCACGGTCCGTGAGTGATCCGAAGTCCATTTGTGGTGTAGGGTGGCTCTGACCCGATTAGATCCGGTTAGGTCTAGGCTCGAGCTCAGCCCGAGTGGGCCGGCCAAATTTACACCCCTAATTGGGAGTGACAGGAGGTAGATTAGGAGAATGTATTTTGTACAAGGGATGCATTATAATGATATATTTCTCTCACATACATGTGGCCTTCAGTACAATACAGGAGTATATTAGTATACATGTTACACAAAATATCACATTAAAAAAATGCCACCTTGGTACCTCCCTTTTATCCTAACTATATTTTATATAACTGATACATCACGGGTAATATATCTCTCTTTTCCTTTTATCCTAACTATATTTTATATAACTGATACATCACGGGTAATATATCTCTCTTTCACATTCATGTGGGTTTATGAGTGTAGGTTCCACATGCATGGACACTTATTAATCAGTTCTATTAATTAAACTTATTTATCTATCGGTCCTAACTGATGAATTTATCACTATAAAAATAAAAGATTGATAAATTTATCACTATAAATTTATTTATAAAAATAAGATATTGATAAATTTATCAATAAAACTTAATAAATAATAAATCTCAAAAGTAGGACCTATTAACAATTTTCCTAAAACACTATCGGAATACACTTGATACATAAGTTGTCACTTCCTTAAATTTGACCTCACATTTTTCTAAAATGTGATTAAAAAAAATAGATTCAGACTTAGTATTTATATGATTAGTAAATCATGTTAATACATTTGTTTCTTATATAAATGTGAGTTCCATAAATGTAAACTCTACAAGTGTAAAAGAGAAATATATTATCATTACGTATTCGTTACATAAAATACACATTCCATCCGTATATCTGACTCCTCACCTTCGTTTAATGTGGTAGAAAATTGTAGCTTTTGATTGTTTTATTTCATATACTATTTTGTTTGTATGTGGCTTATCTTTTCTCTATTTTTTTTAACATATATATTTTTCTCAGCAACTTCCGTCATGAAGACTGGGCTATACTTGTAAGTATTGCAAATTTAAAGAAGAGAAGACCATTCAGTGATATGAAACTACCTGCAATTGATCTCTTTTGTACTTTTTTTTTTTTTTAAATTGTACAAATAAATATGTAATAGTTTTGTCGTATCACACTGCTCTTCTTTTGTCTCTTTATTATAGATTTGCAAATCTGGACTACTTACTCCCCATGTTACTTTGCTCCCTCAACAACAGTATCAACAATTTTCATTCAAAAATGTTATTTATTATAAAAATTTATTTTAAATTTTATCTTAAAAGTAAGTGGGTGAAATAGATTTAGATCATGATTGATTGGAATATATAATAGGGAATGCATCCCTTTAACTGGATACAAGAATAAAGAAAACGGTAATGATACATTCTATTAAAAGTGATATTTTAATATACTATTAATGAATTGGCAAGCACTTTAAATTAAAAAAAAAAAAAAACAAGAAAAAAAAAAGACACAAACTGTGTCTACTGTTACATCACTAGTGATACTTTTAGAACATCACTTTTAGTGGTCTCAAGCATTATTGATTTCCCTTATTCCATGAAGAAAATCCCTCTCTTATTCTAAGTAGAAAATCTCTCCCGTATTTCAAAAAGAAAATTTTAAATTATGAATTTTGAATCTTTTTATAATTTGAAAATTTTAAAAATAACGTAACAAAAAATATGAATGAAAATCAAAATATAATATGAATGTTCATAGTAAACAACAAACATACAACAAACATACAACTAACTTTTGAAAAAACAAAACATATATTTAAATACAATATGAATATTCACAATAAACAACAAACATATAACTAACCTTCGAAAAAATAAAATTCATACCAAAATACAATGTGAATGTTTATAATTTATAATTAATATACAACTAACCTTAAAAAAAAAAAAACTTATACAATGTAAACATTTACACTGTAACGTGAAACCATAAAACAAAATTAAAAAAAATGAAAATCAACTATTTCAATTGTTCAGTAATAACAAAAATGATTGTTCAACTAACAAGTATAGTAACAAAAACAACAAAAATACCATCAACTTTTGAAAAAATAAAATTTATACCAAATTACAATGTGAATGTTCATAATATACAACTAATTTAAAAAAAATAAAATCATACTAATGTGAACATGCACACTGCAACGTGAAAACATAAAATAAAATTGAAAAAAAGTAAAAATCGACTATTTTGATTGTTTATTGGTAACAAAAATGATTGTTCAACCAACAAGCATGGTAAAAAAAAAAAACAAAATACAACTAACTTTCGAAAGAATTTAAAAATTTAAAAAAAAAAAAAAAAAAACTCATACCAAAATATAATGTGAATGCTTACAATTTACAATTAACATACAACTAACTTTAGAAAAACTAAATTCATACCAATCTGAACATTCACACTGTAACATGAAACAAAATTGAAAAAAAATAACTATTTTAATTGTTTAATGGTAACAAAAAAATGATTGTTCAAACAATAAGTATAGTAACAAATAACGAATAATATGTGAACATTCACACTTGCAAAATATATAATTATATTCATATCTATATTTCAACACTTATTTATCAGACTTTCAAATAATATAAAATGTGAACATTCACACTGATTAACAAAAAAATAGAAACAGTGGCAGTAATAGAATTAAAAATCTAAAAAAAAAATTCAATCACTCAAAAAACAAAAACAAAAAAAATATCACTCACATCTTTATCTTCATCAACATCTTTATCATTGGCCTCGTTTAGGAAGTGGCTATTTTAGTAAGCTATTTGACTTTTTGGCTATTTTAGTAGGCTATTTTGATTTCTGTGTTTGGAAAGATGAGATAGATTTTATTTGAGTTGCTGTATTGAAAAATGTGTTGAAATAATGTTTGAAATTAGAATGACAAATTTGTCCCTAAAAATATATATTTTTAAATTGCTATCAAGGGGTAAAATCGTAATTTATGCACTGATGGAACAATTTCTGCAGCTGACAGTGTAGGCTATGCCTACACTGCCGGCTGTGCAGCCTATATATATATATTTTTTTTTGAAAAAGCTTGCAACAGTGGACTTTTTGGCTAAATTTTCATTTTAGGCTATAATAGCCTCTTTAGATACTTCCGAAACAGTGCCATTATCACTATCATTAACAATTTATGTAATTTCACCATTCCACCAATCCAAATTAAACCAAACCTACCTTTGAAGAATATGTTTGTAACAAAATTAAGTAGGCATAACTAGACTTTAGACTTATAATAATAGAGAAACATAGAGTTTCGAACATAGAGCAACAATAGTCGAACACAGAACTTCGAACACAAAGTAATAATAGAGGAACACAAAGCTTCACCTCAACAATGGAGAAACATAATATTATTTCACCACCATGTGTAAACTAGAGTTTCTCAACCCTACCAAATAGAGAGTTTCGAAACCCAACCACAATGAAACAATACCACAAATGTAAATGAAACTAATCAAAAAAAAAAAAAAAACGTGAATAATGATAACTACTAAAATAAAGGTAGTAACAAAAAATGAAATGTGTATATCCTTTTTTCATGTAATACATATCAACAATAGACATAAGGGTATAATAGTCCACAAACAATATAAATTAGGAAAAAAAGATCTCATGAAATAAAAGTATAAAAATCCTCAATTTGATAACAAATTTGAAAAATCCTAGATTTAATGAAAGATTTGATGCGAGTCCTCCCTAGAGTGGAGGTTTTCTCTTGCCTTGTGCAAGTTTATCTTCTCTCAGTAGGAGTTATGGGTTTGTCAATGTGGCGAGACAGTTGAATCTCTTATTGATCTTACTAGTATGTTAGATCTCACTTCCGTGGAGGATACTGTTGTGCGTCTTGGGGAGGAGTCTACAAGATTGATGACAAGAAGATCGGATATGTGTCTTATGGGGAAGCTCCTCACTCGACGGCCGTT